AGATCTGTAACAAAGAGGCAACAGATTTCCAAGCCTTCACCAATTATCCTTTGGGCTAGAACCCATTTGGCTTTCACAGAAACTCAGAATCTTGCAGCTGGAAAGAACCTACCTCTGTAGCCATCTAACTTACTTTTGCCTGAACGGTGATTCTCTCTGCAAAATATTTGATAAGTAGTCATCCAGACTTTGCCTGTAATCATCTGCTGAAGAGGAGCCTGATAATTCCAAACACATATTTTTCTGTTTTTTTTTTAATTGATCTCATCACCAAGATTTTTCTCATATCAAGGCTAAATATGACTTTTTACAAGATCTAACCAATTCTCCTTGATCTAGCATCAGAAGCCCAGCAGAGAAATTTAAGGTTTCTTTCACTTCAAAACCATTCAAGTACTTGAAGACAGCTGCCATGTGACCCCTTAAGTTATCTCTTCTCCAAAATACAAAAGCCTAGTCCCTTTAAATCAGGTTCAAATGATGACAACTCAAGTTTAGGGGGAAAATGTTTCAGAACATGTTTCAGAACTATTTCAGCAATATTAAGGTTGAGATGTCGGTGATGCCCATGGGAAGGTTTGTCCTGGTAGTAGCTGAACAGGCAGATCTAGCTCTCCAAAGACATATTTTGGGAGACCATCTGCATAAAAATTAAATCCCTGAGAAAGAAAAGGTCGCTGAGGAAGACTACGTAGAGACTCTAGCCTGAACCAGAAGAAATAAATCGGATGAAAGATTTTCCATAGATGGAAATTCAGAAGAAGAAAGAAGGGAGACACACTTATACAAAAGAGAGATGCAAAAAGAGCAAGAGATGTAGAAACAGAGAGATAAAGAGAGAGGAGACAGAGACAGAGACAGAGAATATAGGGAAGACGGATGGAGGGAAGTGCAAAAAGATGTGAAAGAGAAATAGAAAAGAGAGCTGTAGGATATATCTCCTTTAGTTTTCTTTCTAGTTCTCTCCTTTACCTTCTCAGAGGCAGTGGTCTTCATCTCCCTCCTGTGCAGCCTTTAAACATTACCCAGAAGAGTCAGCGTATCATAACCTTAATTTCACATCTAGAATCATGAATAGGATCGATTAAATCCTGGCATTGGTTAACCATTTTTTTTTGGTGAGACACAGCAAGAAAAGGGCAGAAAGCACCAGATTTTCCAAAACAGCCCCTAACACACTGTCACATCTACCTGACAACCCAAGACCATTCTGCTCCTCACACCATGGAACTGTCTTGCCTCTCTCCAGTCACTTTTTACAATCATGTATTACTGTGATCCCTTGATGGCCATTTCATAGTGTACACACCTGACCCAATCCCCTACGAAATGAAACAAATCTCTGACAATACCATTCACTGAACCTCAACTTCTTCTCTCATCACTCTGGATCGTGACACAGCCGATCCAGGTCTCATCATCTCTGAAGACTTGAAGATTATGAGATACGGAGGTACACAGGCAGAAGTGCCCAACAACATGGGGAGATTCAGTGATTTTGCCCAAGTTCTTGGTACTCGGTCCTTCGTTTCAAGTAGACACTACTAGGCAGGGGAGGTACCAGACAACACTGGATGGAGTGTTGGCATCTCTAATGGATCACCTATGCCTGAAGTCTTCTTTGTGCTTATGGCTATGCAGAGTCACAGTGGCGGTCATCTTTATGCTATAAGCAAGCAGCACCTTTCTTCTGTGCTTCATGTGAAATACTGCCAGAACTGTGTGTCCAACCTAATGGTGGGCATTTTCCTTGACTATGGAAAAGGAGAGGTATCATTTTATAATGATAAAGAAAGATCTCTCATTTTTGCTTTCCCAACCACTTCCTTCTCAGGACTCTTCTAGTTTTTCTTCTGTCATTCTAAGAAAATCCTAACAAATGATTGCTCTCTCATGATCTGTCCCTAATTGAGAGAGATCAGAAACATATGTATTTGTCCTTCAAATAAACTTCAGACACTCTATTCCACAATTCCTGTGTGTCATAAAATTTTAGAACTAGAAGGGCCCTCATAGGGTACATATCATCACCATCTAATTTCACACATAACAACAGAACTCTGGGGGAGGGGGTAAAATGACTTGCCTACCCTAAATAGGATTCTTGGACCTACCTCCCACTCCCAAACCAATTACATCATATGTCCATTGTGTGTAGTTTGTATATACTTATCTTTGTACATGTTTTTCCTCTGACCTTAGGATAATATATGCTACATGACAGCAGAGACTATTTCCTTTTTTTAGTTTTTGTATTCCCAGTTCCTAGCAAATCGAGTAATAAAAAGTTCTTAATAATACTGTTTGAATTGAATTGAATGTATTCAACTATTCATAGGATCATCATAAGAATGTTAAGTTGGTAGGGAACTTCAAGGTCATCTAGTCTAGTTCTCTTACAGAAAATAGGAGGAAACTGAGGGTCAGAGAAGTTAAGTGACTTGACCAAGTTCTCTTAGTTAGAGAGGGAGTGACTGAGCTAGAGTTTAAAACTAGTTCCTTGCTTTCAAATCAAGTAAGCTTTCTACAACCCCACACTGCCAGCTGAACTAATACAAGGAACCCTGGGCGCTTGGAAATTCAGTCCATTGCTTTTACTGTGATACTATGGAGACACTAATGGAATATCACTTTGTCAATTATGACCACCTAGGGGTCAGATGGGTTAAAATTCTCAAAATATTTATTTCTGTTCTGATTTGAGGGGTGGGGTTGGTACTCTCATTTATAGAGTATTTAAGGCTATGAGACTTTCTTTGGTGTCAGGGGTACACTTTCCTATACACATTGTGGACTTTTCTCAATTTTTTAGGATACCTAGACAACTTTTGGTTACACTTCATTTACTGGGTCTGCTGCCAAGATAGTTGACTGACTAGAACTCAGCAGGATCTGATCTTGTTTCAGGGCCATGGTCTCTGCACCATACAATAAAAAGAGCAATAAGGTGCTCTTTGTGCCATTTTCAGTCTCATTAATCTCTTTTCTTTTGCATTTTGATTCTGGAGAACTGATGGAGGAGATCATGGGTGTGAGGGAAACTGAGGAGATGTTCCCCAGCGCCTCATGTAACTGCCTCATGACCTGACATAAAGAATGTAAACTGGAGTTAACATGCATGACTGAGGGTACCATGGAGACAGAACATTAAGTAATAACAAACTATGTTACACCCAGGAAAGCAATTCTTATCTCAAGGAACATTTTTCTTGAGAAGAATGTGTATCTGTCCAAGGACCTGATCACTCCTTGGAGACTTACACAACAAACAGGTATTTGGGGCTCTGATCAAACTCCAACCCTTGTTAAAATGTGTGCATGTGGGGCAGCTAGGTAGCACAGTGGATAGAGCACCGGCCCTGAAGTCAGGAGGACCTGAGTTCAAATCTGGCCTCAGACACATGACACTTACTAGCTGTGTGACCCTGGGCAAGTCACTTAACCCTATTTGCTTCAGTTTCTTCATCTGTAAAATGAGCTAGAGAAAGAAATAGCAAACCACTCTGGTTCGTCATGAAAACCCCAAAAGGGTTCACAAAGAGTCAGACATAACTGAAAGATGACTAAACAACACAAGGCAAAACCAAGTGCTTCTAGTGGGTAGAAAATGGGATATTCCTTCCCCATACTCTCCTCCATCACTCTCGAAACAAGACACAAGGAAAAGGGCAAACATGGGACTCACAAAGACACAAGGAGCAACCCACTGCATGGCTCTTTATTGCATTACTCAGAAGCGTTGGCTCCAAAACAAAATCCCATTCTTGTGAGTTTTCATAAGTGAATTGACTTGTTGGTAGCCCTAGTGAACTAAGTAAAGCCAAAATTAGTCTAGAAGTCTTCTAAAAAACTGAGAAATATCCACAATTTCTACAGGAAACAGGGCCCCTGACACCACAGAAAGGCTCATAGCTTTAAAACTTTTTCAGATGAGGGCACCCACTCCTTTACCTCTTTTACCCAATATTAAGAACTGCAATGGATATTGTGAGTTCTTTCACCCATCTAATAACTGTGTTGTCACATTTCACTAAGTGATATACTATTAGTATGTCCATAGAATCATAGTAAGAGTTCTGAACTGGGTTTCCAAGGACCAGGTTTCCTTGTCCTAGTTCTGTTGGCAGTGTAAGATTACAGAAAACTTGCTTAATTTGCTGTTAGGGAATCAGGTTTAAACCTTAGCTCTGCCACTCTCTCTTGGCCTAGGCCTAGGAGTTCTTGATGAAGTCACTTAACTTCTCTGAAACTCAGTTTCCTTTTATATAATGTGAGGGAGTTGGACAAGATGATCTCCAAGATCCCTCCCAGCTTAACATCTCTCATCTTATGAATATGATTTATTCTTATGAATAATTATGAATAATTGACCACATTCATTTCAGTTTGATCAGCATTTATTTTGTACCTTTTATTAAGCAATGTGCTAAGAACTGGGGGTATAGAGGAAAAAGAAAACAGTCCCTGTCATCAAAGGTCACATTCTACTGGAGTTAAGGGAAGAACATGGTACAAAAATAAGTAAATACAAAATACACACAAGATAACTATAACAAGGCTGAGGTGGGAGGTGGGTCCAAGAGTCCTATTTAGGGCAGAAAAGTCATTTTACCATCTCTGTTGTTACATTATGTGTGAAATTAGATTGTGACTTTATGTGCCCTCTGAGGACCCTTCTGGTTCTAAAATATAATGACACGTAGGAATTTTGGAATAGAGTGCCATTTAATGGAAAAGTGACGATTCCTTGATCTCTCCCAATTAGGGGCAGATTGTGAGAGAGTAATCTTTTGTTGGGACATTCTTAGAAAGGCCAAAGAAAGGCTGGAAGGGTCCTGAGAAAGAAGTGGTTGGGAAAGTGAAAATTAGATATTTTTCTCTGGCATTATAAAATGATACCTCTCCACATTCATAGTCAAGGAAAACACCCACCACCAATTGGGACAAATTGATCTGGCAGCATTTCACATGGACTTTGGAAAAAAGGTGGTGGTGGTAGCCTATAGCAAAAAGATGGTAGCCATTATGACCTTTCATGGCCATAAGCACAAAGAAATCTGCAGGTAGAATTGGTCCTTTAGAGATGCCAACACACCATCCAGTGTCACCTGGCACCTTCATCTCCACCTCCCAGTAGCATCTTCTTGAAGTCAAAGACTGAGTACCAAGAACTTGGGCAAAAGCACTGAATGTCTCACTGTTGTGGGGCTCTTGCTCTTGAGTACCTCCATATCTCACACTCTTTAAATCTTCAGATATAATGAGTCCTGGACAGGCTGCATTATGATCCAGAGTGATGTCCACTGCGGAGAAAGGAAAGTTTTGGTTAAACAGTATTGTAAAAGATTAGAAGATTTTTAATTATTTTTTTTATTAAGGATGAGGTTAGTTTTGTACTTCATAGAGAGGCCATTTAGGTACCACAGTGATGTGCAAAAAAGTGACTAGATATAGACAGGATGCCTCCATGGCATGAGGAACAGAATGTTCTTTGGTTGTCAGGTAGGGTGTGGGAGAGTGTGTTAGATGCTCATTTGGAAAATAATATTCTTTCTGCCCTCCTCTTTCTGAGACTCACAAAACAAAATAGTTGACTAATGCCATGTCTACTAGAGAACATATTTGTTTACACCTGAAATTGGAGTCACCATATGCTGGCTCCTCTGTGGACTATTTGATTGCTGCACAGGAAGAAGCTAAGGACACTTCCTTTCAGCAGGACCTTGGAAAACTGAAGAGGATATTTCCTGTATCTCTCTTTCCTATTTTTTGTTCCTTTCATTTTCCTCTTTCTTCCATTCTTTTTCCCTCACTCTTCTCTGTCTCTCTCTATCTCTTTCTCACTGTGTCTGCCTCATTTCGCCCTTTGAAATTTTATCTCTTTGGAAAACCTTTCTTCTAGTTCAGCATGGAGAATAAGGATGTGACTGTGATTCTCTGCACTGTCTTCCTTAATAAAGTCATTCATTCTCAAGGATTTAACTTTTTTGCAGATGGGCACCCAAATATTGATCTAATGGGATCTGTTTTCCGAGATCTAGTTCTACCTGTTTGGCTGCTTCTAGGGCAACTCTGCCAAAGGTCCCACAGGTGTCTTTTCCTTAACATGCATGAAAACTTTATCCTCTATCCCTCTAAATTTGAGTTAGTGTCATTTGAGCCTGAATTGAGAGGGCTGGGGATGTTTATTTTGGAGATGAGAGAATTAGGAGTCACATGAGAGTTATCTTTAAGTACTTGCATGGTTTTTTTATTTGAAAGAAACATTAAATTTTCTCTGCCTGTCCTCTGATGTCAGATAGAGGAAAAATGGTTAGAAATAGCAAAGAGGTAAATTTAGTCTTGATGTGAGAAAAAAAATCCTGTTAATGAAACCAATTTTTAAAAAGAATGGGCTCAATTGGAGAAGTACTGAATAAAGTTGTGGTATATAATTGTGACAGAGTACTACTGTGCTAAAAGAAATAATGAGCAGGATGGCTTCAGAAAAACCTGGGAAGACTTATGTAAACTTATGTGAATTGAAGTGAGCAGAACTAGGAGATCATTGTACACAGTGACAGCAACATTGTAAGGATGATCGATTGTGGAAGACTTGGCTATTCTGATCAAGACAGTGACCCAAGACTCAACTCCAAAAGATCCATGATGAAAAATGCTATCCACCTCCAGAGAGAGAACTGATGGATTCTGAATATAGATTGAATCATTTTTACATTATTTTTCTTGTTTAATTTTTGTCTGTTTCCTTTTGCAACATGGCTAATATGGAAATATGTTTTGCATGGCCTCATATGTATAATCAATATCAAATTGCTTACTTTCTCAAGGGGAGGGGCAAGATGGAGGGAGATAATTTGAAACTCAATTTTTTTAAAAAAAGTTTAATTTTTTTACAAGTAATTGGGAAATATTTAGAGAAATAAATAAAAGGTATATTTAAAAAAACAAAATGGGCTGTATTCGGAATTATTAGGCTCCTCTTCACTGAATAATTTTAAGTAAAGCTTGGATGACCACTGGTCCAATACTCTAAGAGAGAGAATCATTGCTCAGAGAAATGTGGAATAGATGGTCACTGATGTGTGATCATTCCAACTCTGAGATTCTGGGATTCTGTGAAATGTAAATTGATTCTGACCAAAAGAAAAATTAGACAGGACATGGAGTTATGTTGAAACTTCTTTTAGATTTTTCCCACTCACCTTTGAATTTCAAAAGCATTTCTGTAATTCCAGGAATGGGCTGGACAGTTTTTTTTATAAGGAATTTTTCTATTTCCTTTTGGAGCACAGATTCATTCCTATAGAAAAAAAAAACAAAACCATGTTTAGTTCTCCAGTTGTCATAGCATCAATGGTGTAGTCTTCATTACTTTAAATTTTTTAAGAGCTTTCCCAATGAAATAAAGATAGGAACCTACCTGTTTAACACTCTTTTCATATCCTGAGAAGAGAAAAAAAAATGTGGTTAGGACAATGGTTTATTTGAGGAGGGAAAATGAGACTTTAAAATGAATCACCTATTCATTGTTTTGAAGATAACTCCAGAGTCGGGAGGAATCTGACAGGTTCTAGCTCTGCAGCATGTTTCACATATGTCCCCTTGTCACCCCTCACTCATCCACTACCTGAGGTCAGGTCCTCCTCACCCCTTGCCTAGACAATTGCCTTGACCTAATTCATCACAATATCTACAGTCTCTCTCCACTCCAATACATACTCCCCACAGCTACAGAAGTACATTTCCTTAAGAGCAGATCATATTAGTCATAATCCAGTAGCTCACACTACCTCAAAGATGAAACAAAATCTCTTCCATTTGGCCTTTAAAACCCTTCACAATGTGGCTTCACAACATCATCCCAGTTTACACTGCTTTCCTTCCTCTATGTTCCAGCATGAATGATCTCCCTTCCTACACTGTAGTGTAGAGAATACTATAGAGTTCAACTGAATCCTCTAGTAATCAAAAAAAGAAAAAGAAGGGAGAATAGACTATACATAGTGATGGCCTTGCAAAAGTACTGAAGAGGGACAGCTAGGTGGTGCAGTGGATAGAGCACTGGCCCTGGATTCAGGAGGACCTGAGTTCAAATCTGGCCTCAGACTCATAACACTTACTAGCTGTGTGACCCTGGGTAAGTCACTTAACCCCATTGTCAACAACAAAAAAGAAGAAAACAAAAGTACTGAAGAGCGGAGAGGCTAGAGATCATGATGAGGATAAAGAACAAGATAAGTCAGAAGAGAAGATGCAGTGTTAATATATTATGTTCAGATAAATGAATTTCAGAGTTTCAGGACATAGATGTAGAACACTTCTGAAATCTCCTGAAACACTATGATTTATACTCAAAAAGCTTACTATTCATTTTTTTAAAATTTGAAGATGTAATCTACGCAGATAAAATTTATTAAAATTCTACATGTACACAAAATAAAAATATATAAGATAATAAAAATAAATTCAAAAAATCTATCAAAACACATTATCAAAAAACTGAGAACCCTAATCTTCTAGATGTTTTTAGGACTTAGGGAATCAGTGTCATTGGGAGATGTAGGAGACCCCTAACAGATTAAAGGATTCTTCATTCCCACTTCACTTTTTGTTTGGACATGGATTGCTCTTTTCTCAGCACCTGGCTTTATCATTTATGTCCCTTCATCTTAATTATAATGGCCTTACCTGTAGCAAATCCATATCTGGTTTCTTGCACTCCTCTTCTAACTCTAAGATCCTCTTCCTTAATTCTTGATTCAGGTGGGACAGTTTCTTCATTCTCTTGCTCAGGCCTTCCATGTTGGTTCTCAATTGCTGCTGCACAATTGACAGATATTCATCCTTCTCCTCATCCAGGAACCCTTGTAGTTTCTGGAATTCAGACAAAATCCTTCTCTTTTGTGTCTCCACCTCTGCCTATAAAGAAACAGATAAGGCTGATGGAATCCAGGAAATGACACAACACTAAATGGCAATGGGGGCTGACAAACTTTTCAGCTTCCAATTGGATTTGGATTTCATTCACTTCTTTACCCAAGGTTGTCCGTGGACAGCAAGTACACACTCTGCACTGTGTTTTGTGGTCCAAGGGCAGCTCCCTTCTCTTGCTTGAAAAACACCACATCCTTTCTTATGGTGCTCTTTGCCTGTTGTAGTACAAATGTGAACTTGAAGGCCTGGCTAGGACTGCCCCTTGTGCCCAGATATATGCCTTCAGGCAAAATGGTTAGCCTCTCTTTGACCCTCAGTGTTTTCATTTGTAAAATTTGGTGAGGGCCAATATGTCACCTGTATATCCCAGAAGGATGCTTTGGGAGATCACAGCAGACAATGTGTTACAAATGCTGAGGGATCAAGAAATCAATACTTACCTCCAACAGTACACATTTCAGCTTCTCATTAGCCATCTGTTGCATCACATTCTCAGCTTTCCTCCACATAACATTCACAGATTTTTGGATCTTCTCCTATAATAATAATTTTAAGAAAAACATAAATTCTTGTATCCCTGAGGGATTTGAATTCTACATATCCAAAACTATTCATGTGTGACTGGCTGAGAGATTATAATTAAAGATTACTGCTCTTTCTGGAAGGTTACAGCCTGTATGACCTGTGGTGAGGGTTGTTCCTATCATTCAGAAATCATTGGTCTGAGGTAGATGACTCAAGGTAGAGACAGTTCAGAGGAGTAACTCAGTCTGAATGAGGACTCATACATCCTGAAATGATTCAATATCTATCCATATCACTTCTTGCCAATGGATTCTCATCACCCCTTCCCCCCTCATGGATTATCAGATCAGAGATTGAGAGTTAAAATGATCCTTGGAGGTTTTCTAGTTCAACCTCTTAATTTAACAAATGAAGAAAGTATATTCCATTCAACTACAATGTGCTTCCACAGTCCTCTTAGCCCACTCAAATCTTGGGTTTCAAGTCTTAGATAAAGAGCCAGTTCCTACATAAACCATCATAGATGACTTCAAGCCACAACCATCTCTCTGGTAAAAGAAGGATTTGTTAGGGGAATAAGTTGATCTAGTAACACCCTTTTGCCCCTGTCTCAGTGTATAACCCCATGCGAGTCATTTAATGTGGCTGGGTTTCATATTTTCAGGACTTTGTTAAAAAAAAAACAACAGAACAACCTGAACTTAATTGAAGATTTGACATACAAGAGCCAAGTGAAATATAAGGTACATACCAAAGACTAAATACAAAGGACTCAATAAGGATAGACCATTTATCTTTTATGTAGGTAAAATGTAAAAATTATGTCTAAGATTGTTATTAGTAACTGGGCAGTTTGTAAAAAAAAGATTGGGGTAGACTTGAGTATGATATGACTTTAAAAAGTAAAACCATTTAGGAATACCTAAAAAGAGTAATTATCTTATACAAATGAGGTGAGAGAGGAAGAACGGAGACAGAGGAATTAGATGGGGGAGGAGGGTTGGTAGTTCTGGAAATCTACTTTCATCAGGAATAGGTTCAAGAGGAAACAATACATATCTCTAGAAGAGAATAAAAGTCTTCTAAATTTAGGAAGAGAGAAAATGCTAAGGTGATAGGGAGGGTGGGGAAGATAAGGGAAGGATACCTAGAGAGGAGGGTGAGGAAATATATTAAAGGGGGGGTATAGAAGGGTGTTTAGATTAGTGGGAATGGGAGGATAAGGGAGGGATTTTTAGAGGGGAGGGTGAGGGAATAGGTCAAAGACAGGTATAGAAAGTTGTTTAGATTTATGGGAATAGGAGGATAAGAGAAGGATCCTTGGAGGGGGGTAGGCTAAGCAATAAGAGGGCAAGGTAGAGGGCAGAGGTAAGGTAGAGGAGTTAGGAGGGATAGGAAATAAGAGATATATACAAATATAAAAACAAAGATCAGGAGTAGAATTTGTTAAGGAAAGTATATGTCTATGTATGTATATATATATATATATGTACATGTATTTATCTATATATAAATATATCTGCACTTAATTGTAGCTTTCTGGGGTGGAGGAAAAGGGGGAGAAAAAGAACAAAGTTAAAAGTACACAACAGAGAACAAAAGAAAACTCATAAGGAAGCAAAGAAAAGATGGACAGCTCTCAACACAATGTGTAGTATTTACTATATGGGCTTTCTTGAAATGGAAATTCATTGCTATATGTTTTTAATCCTCTCACATTCTGCTGTGCACATGACATCCTTTTTTTTCTTTTCTTATTTTGTATTTGAGTTTCAATATTTAAGGTTATAATATGTTTCTATTTCTTTTCTTGTTGTGTATTTAAGTTTTAATAATAAAAAACAAAAGCTTTTCCAGAACACAATAGTGTAAAAAGTAATTTAAGGGAAACTTTCTTTTGATCTCGGGCCATAAGTAAAGGGTCAAACTGAGGCCAGAGAAAATAGCTGGATGCAATTCAACAACAGCATTGTGAGCACTTAGAGCTTAGTGGTTGGTACATAGAGAAACCACATTTCTCTCTAGAATAATCTTTTTAGGATACAGTAGAAAGTACAATTCAAAATGTGCTTGTGGAAGGGGTAATAAACCGACTACTCACCTTGAAGTTTTCAGCAAACTCATCCGTGGAATGGAGTGTATGAGGCTCATGCTCCTGGGATTGAGAACAGGACACAGGGCTTGGACTCCAGTCATCCACATAAAACGGCTTGTGCCCCTTCTGATTTATCTCACTTTTGTTTTCTTCAGGGTTCTGAAAGCAAGGGGGACTTAGATTTTTGGCAATGGCTGCTAGTTTCCCAAGGCGCTGATTGGCTCGCAAGTCCCTCAGAGAGGAGACAAACCCGCATTCTGGACAGGAGAAAGGTGTAGAAGCTTCTGGCCAGCTGCTGATGAGGCAAACATAGCAAAAACTGTGGCCACATGTAGTGGACATTGGATTTGTAAAATACTTTCTGCACATGGAGCAGATGAGCTCTTCCTGGAAGTCTCGAATTAGCTCAGGGCAAGAGGTCATGTTTCTGAGGAGAGAGAATAGGAAAGGTCAGTGACTGGTTTGGAGACAGAAATGCTCTTAATACTAGGACACTTTTCATCATGCTGTGCAGGATCAGAAAACTGAATTTTCCAAAGCAAGTAGTTAAGGACCCTGAGGAAAGAATTGGTGGGCACTTTGATTCCTCTCTGATCTTCTAATCCTTTCTGTATCACTTAATATGCCTTCAGCTGAAACATTAATTAAATTAGATTCACAATCTTATTTTGATCAAATTTGCTATCTTTCTACTCCCACCTGTGTTAGTAATTTCAAGGATGATATCATTTAAAGAACTCTCTAGGGGCAATTAGGTGGGGCAGCGGATAGAGCTCTAGCCTTGGAGTCAGGAGGATCTGAGTTCAAATGCGGCCTCAGACACTTGACACTTACTAGCTGTGTGACCCTGGGCAAGTCACTTAACCTCAATTGCCTCAGCAAAAAAAAAAAAAAAAAAGATCAGCCTAAAAAAAAAAAACTCTCTCATTTTAGTGATCCTTTCCCCCTTTTACTTCTTGATAATTTAGCTAGACTCCTCCCTTCCACATTAAGCCTTCCCTAGTAACAATTGAACAACCAAAACAAGAACAAAGCTTCAAACCCAGTAACGCATAAACCATGGCTGACAAGACATAAAATTATCCACACTCATAATCCACCACATCTTCAATAAAATGAAACAAATGATTTCTCTTAACTTTTTTTTTTTTGGTGACAAGTTAAGTCATATGTGGATTTTGTCTTGAACTTCTTTCATGTAAATGGCTGTAGTCTCTGAGCCTATTGGTTTTTTTTCCAATGGGGTAGTTTCAGTCAGCACCAAATATTATGTCTCCCCTTTTTCTTGGATATAACAATAATTTTCCAATATATTCATTTACCATGGTTGGCTTAGCCAATCCAGAATCTAAGGCCCCCACTTTATTTCTAATTCTTTGCTAGCATGAAAAAAATATTTCAGGAAGATTGCAAATGGCTTTCCAGCATGAGTGGCCCAGCTCACAGCTCCAAAAGTAATGAATTAGTACACCTGTCTTCTCCAAACCCATTCACCATTATCTATTTCTATCTGTTGCCTTTGCTAATTTATAGGTGTGAGGTCAAACTTTAAGTTTGTTTTATCATTAATGACTTGGATTATTCTTTCATATAGGAGCTGATATCTTTGGGAATATTTGCAGCATTTAGAAATGAAGAAAAAAATTTAAAAAAAAAGAAACGAAGGAGTTCAGGACAAGGGAAGATACTAATCCTTCTAGTGTTCTACTGTTACTGTTGTCCAAGCCAAATCAGTTTTTCCACTTAGCCTGACTTGTTACTGCCTAACCCATTAACACAAAATCTGGCTCTCTTCTGCCTTTGCTGATTTCAGAGGACTAATTCCCAAAGTTGTATATTTCATCAAGGAGAAATATGTCACTCAACCTCTAGATACTCCATTGCACAGGACCTAGTTCTTAAATCCCTGACATGTAAATCATATTTCTCACTGGGAAAGTTACCTTCTTTTTGTCTTCTGGGATCTTTGCTTCACAGCCTCTGCCTTTAGCTCTGCTTTCAGCACTAGGAAAGTCTAAGTCTGTCTTCTCCCAGGCCTTTTATATACCCCTAGAACACTGAAGTCCCTCCTTCTTTCAAGGTGTGAATTCTTCTGGTCCTCCCTTGTCCCTGAGGCTTGTTCACACTTAGGGACTGCTCAGTGATAAGAGGCTCAAACCAAGGCACTCACAATCTAGGAGAAGGAGTTCACACTACTCATTTGGTCCTTTTACCTTACTTAAAACCACAAAGATTAAGAGAGTATCATTGTCTCTTCTTCGAAAGCTTTCTTATCCCATAAAGGATTCTCCTGAAATAGAATTACTAATAATGACTAAAATAATCATATTTGCTAAGAGGAAGATGGGGGAGTATGTGGGAATAAACAGAATTGATATTTTTCCCTGAGACTCAAATACTTTTAGTGTGAGGAGTCTTTTGAAGGAATAACATTTATGGATAGCTTTAATTTCTGCTTCCAATTCATTTCTGAGTATATTCTCTACCTTCCTCTATCCAACAAGCCATTCTGAGTAATAAAGAAGAAGAGAAAGAAAGAGACAAAAAGTAGTCAAGCAAATCTAATTAGCATGCAGAGGGAATACATTCGGTGTTTCATGCCAATCATCTACTTCCTCTTCAAAGAACATGGGAAAGGGACATTTTCTCATCTCTTCTTTGGGGCCAAGGTTAATCATTATAATCCTACTGTCTTCAGTTTATCTTGCTGTAGGTCTTTCTATTTACGTGTTTGTATTTGCTCTCTATCTTGCTTTCTCAGTTCGGTCTACCTTGTTTTATATTAGTTTATATAAATTACCTTTTGCTTCTTGGAATTTCCATTATTCAGTTTGGGTATAGTACCACCTGCTAGGCAAATTATCTTCTATAATCTCTTCCTTCTCACTTAGTTGTGATGTGACACCCTTGATTCCTGTGGTCTTTGGGAAGGCGGCATACAAAATGTGTAGGCCACTGCCACCACTGCAGAACCCTAAAGAGTCACATGAAACACTCACAAAGAGCACACAGTGTCTATGCTACTGCCAGGGGAATAAGATTGAAATAGTTAACTGTAAGGTACTTGGGCAGAACCGTATCCGAAGGGGCTAGGAAGAAAGATAGTTGAAGAGTTTTTGGACACTCGCATATAACTTGTGGAGCTTGTAACAGGTGACAGGGCCTGTCCCTATATAGACATGTGGGCATGGGAGTTAGTGCTCCCTACTTCCAATCGGAGATCTATGCCCATCACTGGCAGCCTGACAGACCCACTCTTGTGCTTGATATCTGGCAACTAACCACATGGAGATAGGTGGTTGCCAGGACTCATATTTCCTACCACAATACCCTTCCCCCCTCCTTCAGTGAATCACCTGACTTACAGGTATGTGCCACACAATACAAGATCAGATGGGGGAACCATGACACCAAAGTATTCCCAATCCTATTTCATCTTAGTCACTACCAACATCAATTAGTAGTGGATTTACTCAGCAGACTTTTCTAACTTACATACTTTTGCTGGTTTCTTTTAACAGAAGAAGTGAGGGAAAGGAAGGCTGACTAACAAAACTTATTGACTATGCTGTAGTGCCAATTCTCAATTAGCTATAGTTTGGAATGGCTGATGTCTGACAGGAGGCCCTTCCCTCTCTATTATTCTGTGTTTGTAATACTCTGAAAAGTTCAAAGTCAAGGGCAGGCTCAGGTGGGCAACTACTTTGCCTGAGGTGTGAACTCTATGCTTCTCATAGCTAATGCAATAATAAGAGTGGGAATTTCAGGAAAAATAAAAACAAAAGTTATGGTGGAGTAGTAGTACTGGGGGCCTAGGAAGCAAGCAAATTCACACCTTATGCTAGATTAGGTGAATTTTCACCTTGTATTGGGAGGGGCTGAATAAGACAAATTCCCTTATAAAAGGCTCAGGCTGAAGTCAGGGTCAGGGATTCTTGTTTCCGGACAGAAGCTCTGAACTAGAGAGGAAGTTAGATCCTGAAGGAAAAATCCTAGATTGAAAGAGTCAAGGTAAGTTTTCCTCAAGAATGTTATTAACTTTTCTGTTTGGGATTTGGCTCCCTTCACCAGACAGCAAAGGTAAACAGTTAGGGTTACAATGAAATGCTGCACCATGCTAACATCTCACAGAGATGATGAACTGTGGAGGACATCTTGCCCCCTTTCTGGCTAATGTCCTTTGGGTTCTCTTTTTGAAAGTTGTGCTGAGAATTGATGAAACTGCCTTAGGAGATGCCCCCAGCTTTGGCCCTGAGTATCTTCAGGGATTTGGATAGTCAATATGAGTTAAAGATCATTTCATTTAGAATAAGGATCCAGTTGCTTGTTCTGAATAATTTGCGCAACATAGCCTGTTCCTTATAACCTCTAGAAATAGTGTGGAGAAGGTGATTTCAAAGGATTTGATCTTTCATACTGAGAAAGCATTGCTTGGGGCCATGGAGGAGGGTGAGATGGACCAGTTGACAGGATGAAAGAGATTCTTTTGAAACACGGGAGGAGATGTCACATAGCTAGCTAGCATCATCAACTCCTCCATTTGGGAGATGAAATTCAGAGGAAGGAAAGGTCCTGAGAAGGAAAACATTTAATATTCTATCTCTGGGCATTCATGGTAGTTTACCTTGTTAGAAAGTTCTCATTAGAAGTAATGAGAGACATAGTGTGATGTAACACCTCAGGTAGGCCTGGATTCATGTCGCTCCTCAGACTCTTTCTGGCTGGATAGTTGCTTAATCTTTCAGTTATTTAATCAACCAAAGGCACAAAATGGTATGAGGAAAAAGAACTCCTGAAGGAAGAGGTGCTTAAACCCCATCTTGTAGGAACCCAGAGACTCTACGAGGTACAGTTTTGGAAAGAAAGCCTTGAAGGCTGAGGGATCAGACTGTGCAAAGATATAAAATGTAGAATTGTGTGTAGGAAATAGGAAGTAGGCCAGAATCACTAGAATGTAAAGTTCATGAAGGGGAGTAATCAGTTAAAAAAAAAAACTTAGAAGACAAAAAGTGGCCAGCTTTCAAGAGATTTAAATGCCAACTAGAGCAGCTTATATTTCAAACATAATTTTTAATTATAAAAACCAAATATATCCACAAATAAGAGATTTGAAAAGGTACCTACTCCCTCCCTTTCTTCTCCAAGTGGGGAAATATGAGTATGGAATATTGTCTGTAATGTGTGACTTCTTCAGTGTATTAGTTGATCTTTCTGAACTTACCCTTCTGCTCTCTTTTCATTTTGTCTTCTCAAAAAAATGATCTCTAGGAAAGAAAACATAGATGATATAAAATCAAAGTGAGTGGTAAAATTTATTTTAATAAAGAAATAATAGAGGGGGCAGCTAGATGGTTCAGTGGATAGACCACTGGCCTTGGAGTCAGGAGGACCAGTGTTCAAATCCAGCCTCAGACACTTGATAC